TCCCCATGCCACCTCTTCCAGTCCTCACAGGAACCCTTGGGGCAGGTCCCACGTTTAACCCAGCATGGACAGCTTAAATATTTAGGTGGAAGTGTGCTGGCAGCGAGCAGGCGGGCGGAGCAGGGTTTCTTGGCCAGGCAGCCTGCCCTCCAGCCAGCATGCCGCAGACCACCTGTGAGTCTTCAGAGGCCAGCGCTGCCCAGATGAAGGAGGTGGCAAGAGCTTGCTTACGTTTATCCCACCATCCCCCAGAAGTTCATTGAAGTGGGTTGTTCGGAATTAAGTGTTTGCCATGGGAAAGATACAGGTGAGATGCTTGGTGTGTGCAGCCCAGCCCTGACGGCCCTCCCTGCCCCTCCTGCACGCACTGCTGCCAGGCATGGTGGGAGACCCCCTCCCTCAGCCCACCCAGGCCTCCTGCCTTGCCTGTGCCCACACATCTGCCAGGAGCAGCACTCATGCTGGAAGGCAGCCCGCGGGTGCACCTGCCTGGGTAGGGTTGTGCCTCAGCCCCTCCCCTTCTCTTTCCCTGGATGTGGGCCTACCTCCCGCCACCTCTCCGGCTTTTCTACCCCCGTGCTCCTGGCTGGAATTGAGTCCCACCCCCTTTGTGAGGGCTGTAGGTGGGTGGGTGTGTTTGTGGACAGGGCTTTTTGTCTGTGGGGAGAGCAGGCAGGTCCTGTCCCCAATGTCTGGATGCTGACCTGCTCTCTCTGCTGCCATAAATTCTCGCTGTGTGTGACCACAAGTGTGACTGGACAGCCCTACCTAAAGCCCGAGGTCCCACTGCCCTGGACTCAACGCGATTCCTGTGGGGCTCTGCCATCCAGGCCACTTCTGCCACCATGGGGCAGTGGGGAGGGAGGCTGGCTGTGGGCTGCGGGCTGCAATGGCCCAGCTCAGGTGGGCCGGGAAGGACCAGCACTGTGGTCTCTATCCTGGAGGCTGGGGCGGCCTCACTCCAGGGCTGTCTGCCGGAGGCACCGCAATGGGGCAGGCAGTTTCTGCCTGGGGACCCTTCCTCAGGGTGGGCCATGGGGGCAGCAGCCCAGGACACCCTTCCATCCACATGGGGCACTCATGAGAGGCAGTCATGTTCATTTTGCTTATTCACTGTCACTGCAAGTTTGAGGTTGCTGAATGCCATCTGGTTGGCCAGTGCGTGTCTCTGTCCCTTGTCTGGGCTGGGGCTTTACTTACAGAATGGAAGAATGAGGAGTTTTACCTTACAAAATTATACAGTTGATGTTACATTTAACATTGTGGACATGATATGATTCGAATTTCACACAAGTCACAGACACGCGGGGTGACTGGCATGTCTCATCTTGAGTAGGAAGAGGTTGTGAGCAAGCCGAAATCCTTTCTTCCCTTCCCCATTTACAAGTGGCTCTGGGTGGTCGTGGAAACTGGCTGAGTCCTCAGCAGTGGGAAGCGAGGCCCAGGAAGGGGGATTGATGTCCCTGATGGGGCCATTCCTCCTCCCCTGCACCGCCTGTGACCATGAAAGGGCTTCGGTCAGGCTGTTTTTGCAGCCTGGATCTTCCCAGAAGCCTAGGGGTCTGAAAGGTGTGTGTGCCGGGTGCCTGGGGGCTGAGCTGGACCTCCAGGCTCTCGCAGGACAGGGTGTGGTAGCCACCTGGGAGCTGGCTCTGCAGGGGCAGCAAGGGTGTGGAGCTCGCCAGTCGGCTCCGGCCTCTTATGTGAAGAAGGACCCAGCAAGATGCCAGAGATGTTCCCGGACACACACTGCCCGCCCCCATCACCCTGCCGACACCACTGAGGTTCAGTGCCCACAGAGAAGGGCAGCGTCCTTGCACACTCACAGGCGCCTGGAACACACGTGCTCACTCCCTTGCACGCACACTGACATTCAGAACACACACTTGTGTGCACAAGCAGGTTGATGTGCATGTCTCTCCGTGCAGGTGGCCCTGTTGTCCTGGAGAAGCAGGCCCCGTAGCTGAAGGCTCGTGCCGCCTCCCGCCCTGAGCACACTGCGTGGTGGGTTCTCAGGCTGTGGCATCTCAGGGACCCAGGCCCCCGTCCCTGCTGGCCCGACTCTTGTCAGCGTTGCCTCTGCCCGACTTTGTAATCCTTTTCACCTGCTTTCCTCAGCCACTGTCATTTTCCTTTGCTCTGAAGTGACGTACATCTGTTGTAGGGCAGCAGTCGGTCCCGACCTTTTTGGCACCAGGAACTCTGGTTTCATGGAAGGTGGTTTTTTCCATGGACAGGGGTGGGGGGTGCAAGAGGATGGTTTTGGGATGAAACTTCCACCACCTCAGATCATCAGGCTTTCGAGTCTCATAAGGAGCGTGCATCCTGGATCCCCCACACACAGTTCACAACAGGGTCACACTCCTGAGAGAATCTGATGCCGCCGCTGATCCGGCAGGAGCTCGCGCTCCGGTGGGAATGCTCCCTAGGCTGCCGCTTACCTCCTGCTTTGTGGCCCACTTCCTAACAGGGCAGGGACTGCCACCCATCCACGGCCGGAGGTGGGCACACCTGCCGTAGAGGGATTGAAGAATACACAGGGACGACAGTGTGGCACGGGTGGCATCCTGTGGGCACCAGTCCTGCTGTGCCAGCGCAGTCACTCATGGAGCACAGGCGTCCAGTGGCTGCCTCGCACGCACACCCCACTCTATGCCTTGCTCATCCTTTCCCTGGCCTGAACCTCATCCTCCAGGCAGAACCACCGGCTGGGAGAAGCCCCACTCGAGCCAGCCCAGAGCCCCTGATTCACTAAGTTTCCTCCACAGAAAGTTCCTTGGGCCACTCTGGTTGCCAGGATGCCTGCTCACCCTGAACCCTCTCACCATCCCCTCTCCCTCCATAAGCGGAGCAAGACCAACAAAAAGCATCCCAACAGTGACCGGGTGAGGCAGCTCACGCCCCTCATCCCAGAGCTTCGGGAAGCTAAGGCGGGAGGATCACTTGAGCCCAGGAGTTTGAGACCAGTCCCCGCAACAGAGCAATACCTTGTTTCGTCAAAAAAGAAAAAAACGTGTCTGGGTGCGGTGGTGTGCACCTGTAGGCTCAGCTACTCAGGAGGCTGAGGTAGGAGAATGGCTTGAGCCCAGGAGTTCGAGACCAGCCTGGGCAACATAGTAGGACCCGTTTGCTACAATTTTTTTTTTAATTAACTGCCATCTATTTGGGAGTCTGAGGTAGGAGGATCACTTGAGCCCAGGAGGTCTGGGTTACAGTGAGCTATGATTGTGCCACTGCACTCCAGCCTGGGCAACAGAGCAAGACCCTGTGTCTAAAATAAAAAAAGACAATGGGACAAGAGACAACTGGTAACTGAGCAAGTACTGGGGACAGCAGACAGACCATGAGGGGGACACGTGCAGGCCACAGAGGGTGGCGAAGAGGCTCTCCCCGGCAGGCAGGTGGCAGAGCTCCTCACACCTGTGGAGGCCTGGCACTTCCCCTGGGCTGGCCCAGGGGCTTGTGTGGAAACTGAGGAAACTGTGTGCAGACAGAACCCTGGAGCGTGCGAACAAGCGCAGAGCCGTCTTGGAGGAGCGGGAGGATGTGCGGGAGCCCCAGAGTGTGGACTGGGTCCCAGGACAGAGGTACCCTGGGGTTGCAGGAGTCCCTCTCAGGGCGTCTGGTCAGTTGCACCTTCCCACACTCACCAGCGCCAGGCCAAATTGTTCCTTTTCACCTTTTCTAATACCGTGAGTGACGTGGGAAATGTTCACTAGCGATCTTGAACATTTGTCCCCATTTATCTTTAAACAGTTCTGTGCATCTCCTGTTCTTTTTTGCCCAACTTTTTAGTGGGCTGCCTGTCATATTCTCATTAATGTGTAACAACCATTTATGTAAAATTTATCTGTATGTCATAAATACTGCAGTTTTTATTTTACCTTCTACCTTTTAATTGTTATTAAGACAAACATTTTTATGTCTATGTCAGTTTTTGAAATATGAGATATAATTTATACTCAGCAGAATGCCAGCCCTTAAGGGTGCTGTTGGGCGACTGTGCCCTCCCCTGTGGACACTCGACAGGTCGGACACTCCATCCACTGGGGCGTCTCCTCCGGCCTCGGCCCCCGCCGCCCTCCCTCACCTCCTGAGAGGCAGCCTTCTTCTGATGTGTTTATCCTTGTGCGTTTTTTCTGTTTTAGAACTTCATGTGAATATAGTCAGCCCTCCATATTTTTGGGTTTCACCTCCACTCATTGAGCCCACGGAGGATCAGAGCCTGGAGACACTGAGGGCCAACCACCTGTATTTCCACGCCAGGCCGTGGTGGAATGTGCGGAACTGGAGCTGCGAGTACAGAGGCCCCGTGGAGGGTCTTCCAGTCTCGCCTCTTCTCTCTGCTCTTTCACCCTCTGCCAACACCTGCTCTTTAGCAGTTCCCCTGTGTTTTCTTGTGTACACGTAGGTTATTCTTTTTTATGGATAGGTGGTGTTCTCTTTAATGAATACACATCATTTGTCCAAGTGTCCACCTTCGAGGGAATGTGTGAGTTGCGTTGAGGCTGGTCTGTGACCAAAAATCCCATGCACATTCTTGTACAGGCTTTCTGTGGGTGTGCTTCCGTGTTTCAGATAAATAGCTAGGAATGGGATTGCTGGGTCTCAGGGCAGATGTGTGTTTAACTTTATAAGAAAGTGCCCAGCAGTTTTCTGACGTGGTTGTACCATTTCACGCTCTCTTCACTGTCTTTAAGTTGTTCTCAAAATAGCATTTCCAACTGGCAAGATAACATAACTCTTCTTGCATATTTTCTTCTAGCAAGCCAATGGCTTTTGTTTTTAATATTTTCCACTTAAAAGGTAAGACAATGCCCAGAGCCTGGAATGGCCCTGACTTCTTTTTTGGACTGAAATAGCAGCAGTGCAGGGCAGGGCAGTGCCCAGGGCCACACCAGGGCAGACACATGGGGCCTGGGCTGGTTTCTTGGGTCTTCGTCGGGTCTCTGTGTGTGGGGCCTGGGCTCTGACCATCTGTCTGCTCCGTCTGCTTGCAGCAACAGCAGGAGATGCTGGCCATGAAGCACCAGCAGGAGCTGCTGGAACACCAGCGGAAGCTGGAGAGGCACCGCCAGGAGCAGGAGCTGGAGAAGCAGCACCGGGAGCAGAAGCTGCAGCAGCTCAAGAACAAGGAGAAGGGCAAAGAGAGTGAGTGCGGGCACGGAAGGCTGGGCAGAGGGAGGGAGGCTGAGTGCGGGTGCAGAAGGCTGGGCAGAGAGAGGGAGTGC